AGCCGGGGCCCTGCTGGCGCCGCGAGCAGCCCGAGGTAAGTGGCCGAGCCGCGCGCCCGCGCCGGCCCCGCGCGCCTCGCTTTGAACGCCCAGTGCCAGGGTGGCCCCAGGGGAGGACGGTCCAGCCCAGGTACTAGGTCTCGGAAGGGACACCTGGCTGGGGTCGCGGCGCGGCCCCGCATGGCATCGCCTCCACTGCCCCCCCACCCGGCCCCCACTGCCCTTGGTGGGTCTAGCTCCTCATGGGCGCCCCTGGCCCGCATGCCACTGTCTTGACAGTTACACGTGTCGCATAGGATGATGCGGGGCGGGGCCCCTTGGTCTTTAGTGAGTCCCCCAGCCCGGGCTCCTGGACCCCCCTCGACCCTCTCTCTATGCCACCGCTTCCCGCACCGGGCGTTATGGGGATGAGCAGGAGCCCTGCAGGTGAGCGAGGCAGGTGTGCCTGCCCTGTTGGGATCTCTCCCCACCACTTTTTCAGTCCCCTCCTGTCCCAGTGGGACTGCACTCCGCTTGGCAGAGGCAGTGGAAACTTGAGCCAAAGCCTCCACTCCCCACCTCTGCCCCTTTCCGGGTCTTAAATGAAGCTGAAATCAGCCTCGAGGAAAGCTAGAACCCCTTTCGAAGTTAGGCCAGGGTGCGAGAGCGTCTCGTTGTTGCCCGGCTGTGACTGCCCCATTTGCACCCCTGTAAAAATCCCCCACCTGTGGCTCCTGCTGGGGCCCAAGCAGGACTCAATCAGCAGGTGCCTTTTTGAAAATTCAAAAGCTTCCCGGGGTCGCCTCGCCGCCTTTGGCCGCTAGGGGCGCCGTCGGTCCACCAATGGATGACGGGCCTTGGCCCCAGACTCGACGTTTCTATGATTGTATGTAACAGGCATGTATTTCCCAACTACTGGCCTCAGTCGCGAACCGTTACCACTTCACGGTACATTTTATGTCGTAATCGCCACTGATACCCCCTTCCCTCCCACCGCGTCTAATGGAATGTGGCTCGAGCCCAGCTCGTGTTAAAATCCACAGTACTATGAAGACGGAGTTGGGAATTAATGATTTAATAAACGAATTGCACAAAGCAGTGGAGGAGCCAGTAGAAAACCAAGTCGGGGGGTGGAGGGAAGTGGGGTGGGGCGTGGTGGGGATACTGCTGACTTGTTTAAAGAACTCTGTGATTTGCAAATAAAAACCAGTCGTGGTCAGAAGTGTTTGAAAGCCTTTCTTACAGATTGGACCCTTTGAATGTTCATTGAGAAAGAACTTCGAAGAAACCCAAGCCCTGGTGGCATCGTGGTTACCAGCTGGGCTGTTAGTTGCCTCGTCAGCAGCTCCATGCCCCTAAGAGCTAGTCTTGGAAACACGCAGGGGCAGTTCTGCCTTGTGCTATTGGGTCCCAATGGGTGCCCCTGGACTTGGAGTTGTCTGAGCGAGTCTTGCATTTGGCTCATGCTTTGTAAATAATAGAAACTTGTCATAGATGATACAAATTTTTTAAGGGAAATGGTTGTTTTTAATCAAACAAGCTAATAATCAAGTATATGTTTAATTGCTATGATGCATTCTAGGAAAAAAGGATAAGTAATTTGGGACTTGTGTGGACTCCCTGGTAAAACCTTAAGGGAGCCTCCTTCCAGGTCCCCTTGCCCACTCCTTCCAGGTCCCCTTGCCCACCAGGGGAGCCACAGAGGCAGCAGACAGGGCAGTAGTGGACTGGAATGGGGACCAGGGAAGAGAGAAGGCACTGTGCTACTTGCCTAAACCTTCCTAGGTGCAAGAGCCTGTGTTATCTGCCTTACCTGTCTGCATCCCACCTGTGGGCCCGTGCTATAAGACCCCAAGTTTGGAGCCTGAAAACCATGAAAGGGAAATGGTAAAAGGAGAGCCGTTTAAAACCAAAACACAACAAAAAGGGACCATTGTCCTATATGTGCTTATGTGTTACTGGAAAAGCGGTAAGCCTTGCACTTGTATTTCATGGGGGAGAGGGGCAACTTTTATATTGAGACTCTTGCCCCCTGCCCTTTGGGCTAGACATAACCCCAAAGAGACAAATCCGTTAGACCAAAATTGGTGAGTGGGTAGGTAGCCGAGTATTCTTGTCTGTTTACCTTTGAAGTCTCAGAACCCAGTCGAGCTCCGTGACCCAGGTCGTACCGGTGGGATTGTTGAAACAGATAATGAGGCATCTTTTGGTGTTGGCAAGAGAAAGGAGACATGCTGCTTGTTCGGGGACAGCTATCATCTGGAGTTTCCCTCCGACCCTGATTGTTCCCCAAGTCCTAGATCTACATGCCTTCGTGATACTTTGGGGACAAAGTGGCCCTAAACCACAAACCCAAACCATTGCCATTGGCTTCATTCCAACTCACCCTGATGCTCTGAGGGCAGAGTAAACCTCTCCCTGTAACTCTTTATGGAAGCCTCAGCTTTCTCCCACAGAGCGGCTACTGTGTTCACGATGGAAGTCTAGAATCCAGCTCCTCCACGCCCACCCAGTCTTCTGTGATAACCTCCTTACCTTCCACAGGTGCTTCGCCCCACAGCCAGAAATCATTCACGTGCTGTGTTCCATGCTCGGCCATCCATCCCCCTCCTTCCATGTCCATCAAACGTCCCCAGTCCCGGCCACATTAAGAAATACGACAGTCGGCTCCAAAAACCGTGTATCTCCTCTCTGGGAGCTATCCCGACTCCTCTGCAGAATTGATGTTGCCCTGCATAAAGGGACAGTGTCCCAGCCAGCCTTCGGTTCCTGCTGGCTACTACCTGCCTAAGACTGTCCAGTGACTGTCTACTGTCCCTTGGAAAGAGAGCCCAGCTTCTAAACAGCCTCATCGCCATTTCCCTGCTGATCTTCATTCTGTCCTCTCCTCCCTAGACTCTGCACCATCCACACTGGCTTCCCTCTCGCCTGACCTCCCAATCGTGTGCCGTCATGACTGACACGCTCCCTTTCCCTCCCACCCCCTCCTCCGTGTTTGCACTGTGAAGACTTGGCAAATACGGGGCACAGTTGGGCACCACAGGTCTTTGGTTCCATTTCATCTCGCAACATTGTTTTCCCCTGGAGTTGATAATTGCCTGATATGCCCCCACCACTCCCATTTGCTTTTTCTGTGTACCAGTCTAGTAAACACCTCCCACTGTGCCTTTCCTGGGTGTTGGGGCTGCTCTCCTGGGTGGACCAAACCTACTTGGGGTCTGGGGACTTGCTGGCGCTCATCCCAGGACTGCCCTTCCCAAGATGCTGATAATCCCCTTCCACTCGATCATCTACTTTCTGAACCATAGAACTTTCTGCGTCTTTGTTTAGTCCGGGTGTCTATGGCACCTGGTTTCTCCATTGAAGGGTGTGTGGGAGATGACATTTCCTGATCACTTGTGAATGTTCTAGGAATGCTGTCAGCTATAAACCCTAAAAAATAGGACTCCACTTTTTAAAAGTGGCCTTTCTCTTGATGAAACCAGGGGTGAAGCAGGCAGCATGAAACTGGAGTGGTGGGCCAGCGATGCTGCCAGCAACCCTGCCGCTGTCTGGGCTCCAGGCTGGCATACTGGCACCTGGGTACTGACCGCAGCCTCATGGTCCCACGAAGGCGGCTGCTGTTTGTGGCACTGCCTGCATTCCAGGCACTGAGAGGGCAGAAGGGGCAAAAGGCAGAGAGCCAGCTCGATTTCCTTTGACCAGAAAACAAAAGCGTTTTGTGAGTCACTTTTCTAGCAGATTGTCATGTAGCTGTCTGGCCAGTATGTGACCCAAGGCCCCAAGAAGAGAAGCGTTAGCTGCTTACAGGTCTATTTCCAACTTAGTGGCTCTATGGGCAGAAAGGGGGTTT